ATGCATAGAAATCTGTCACAATGTTGGCCATATTGAAAAAGAATTTGCAAAGTTTTATCAGACTGATCACTTTGTAAACTAGTGATATGCAGGTGTACAGTTGAGTGTGTACCTGGTTCATTTTATGAGCTGATTCACAAACCAGTGCACTAGGTTATTGACAGCTGATTAGCTGTTATTAATGCTTAAGCTAGCTATAGACTGCCGGTATTATAGCTGCTAGCAGTAATCACTGTGATCTCCTGGCAGGGATGGCACCAGCCAACTGGGAGAACACAGTGGCTAGGCGGAAGGGATTCCCCCATCAACACTGACTGTGTTGATGGGGGAATCATGCAACCCAGAAAATTGCTTCGTCTACAGCTGGCTTTAGCCGGCATTATTGGCAGTTGATGTGGGGAATCAAAAAGGAACTCTTTATGAATACTGTGAATGCTCACCAACTTACTATATGTCTGAGCATGCAGACCCTGAAGGAGCAGAGCATGTCTACTTTCAAATTGAATTTTCACTTTTATTAGTAAATAAGGTGCAACAACATTTTTGAAAATTCACTTTGGAAAGAATATCCAATCACAAATAAAAAAAAAGGATTTTTGCTTAGATGTGTTCAAATGACTGAAATCTACAAAACTTTATCTAATTCACTTAATTAAGTGAACATTCATTTTGCAAAGACAAAATTTACTTAGCTTAGCAAATTGGTTGTTATACTGACTTCATGTAATCAATTATGTTCATGCATGTGATTGGATATTCTTTGCAAAGTGAATTATCATTTTATTTCACCTTATTTACTAAGATAAGTGAACATTTACTTTGCAAAGGGAAACATTTAAAGGTATGTTAACATGTTAATAAAATTCAGTAGCTGCTATTGAATTAGGCTAATTGGATATTGACTAATCTTACTGCTGTAAAATATATTATATATATTCGCAGTATTGATATGTGGATGGGGGGAGGCACTCTGGGAGCTTTGGTCACTCTGTTCTCAGGTGCCTCACTGGCACATTGCCTGCAGCATCTCTTCTGTCAGAAGGAGCAGGGATCTAAACAGCTGCTGGAAATTTTGCTCTCTCTTCCCTCCAATAGTAGCCTGCTGTGGACAGAAAGGAGCATGGAGCTGCTGAGAACATACCTTTGTATCAGCATGGTGCCACTGGAAGTGAGAGTGGACTGCTCTTCTTCCCTTCTCGTCTTGACATGTGACATATCACAGGACCTGACATGGAAAGAAGGAGAAGCTGCCTTCATTCTCACATCCAAGCTCTCCTTCGCTCGTTTACTCCACTATTAGATGCCAAAGCAGTCCTCCTCAGACTGACACCACTGACACAGGGACATTTTCCATCACTGACACTGATGCAGCGCCATTTTTCCTTGTAGCAAATCCACCAATGTAGGGCTATTTTTCCTTTCAGTAACACCACAGACACAAGCAGGGGCCAACTGATCATTTGGAAACTCGGGCACTGCCCAAGGGCCGGGGTCAGTAGGGGGCCCCATGAGATGCTCCTGGTACCTTTTTCATAGGCTTTTTTGAGTTTGGGCAAGGACACAGGGGCCCCATGATCCCCTATTGCCCGGGGGCCCCATGAGTTGTCAGTCCGCCCCTGGACACAAGGTCTTTTTCCTTTCAGTGTCACCACCGACACAAGACTCTTATTTCCTTCCAGTGATACCTCTGACACAGGGGCAAATTTTCCTTCCAGTTAACACCACTGACGCAGAAGCTTTTTTCCTTCCAGAGACACCACTGATGCCAGGTATTTTTTTCTTTCCAGAGACACCACCGATGCAGGGACATAATTCCTTCCTGTGACTCCTCTGATGCAAGGACATTTTATTTTCTGTGGCCATTGGAAGCTCAATATTTGTGCACCAGATTTAAACTCAGGGTGGGACGCCACCTCTATTGGTACTATTTCAGTGCATGCTTCAAACATTACATGGAAATCCTCACAGCAAACTGCTTTCCACTATTAGCCCTATCCCCTCCTCTACTCAGGGATGAGGAAGGGCAGTTTGCCATCTCTGCCCTGTGCACTGCATGACCTGGTCCCTGCATTGGTGATTGCATTGTTTTAAAATATGGCCAATGGTATAAAGCTATTAATGCAGCACCATTTTTCCTTTTAGCAACACCACCTATGTAGAGCCATATTTCCTTCAAGTGACACCAGTGATGCAGAGAATGTTTTCTTTCCAGTGACACCCCTGACACAGAGACAGCTTTTCCTTCCAGTGACACCCCTGAAACAAGGACATTTTTCCTTCCAGTGACACCTATAATGCAGGAATATTTTTCCTTCTAGTGGTACCAGTGATGCAGAGGCATTTTTTCCTTCCAATGACACCACTCATGCATGCATATATTTTCCTTGGCTACTGTAATGCACTGTTTTTAAACTCTTTAGTTCACTACAGTGTACCACAACTATAGGTGCTGTTTCAGAGCATGACACAAACATTGCATACAATTTGACACAGTGTGCAGCTCACACCACTATTAGCCCCATCCTGTCCTCCACTCAGGAAGGGGGGTGCAGTTTGTCATCTTTGCCCTGGGCACTGAATCACCCTGTCCTGGCACTAGTGATTACATTGCTATTAAGATATGCCCAATGGTGTACTAATACTGTTATATTATTATTAATAATATTATTTTTTAATAATAATAAAAATGTAGTATCATTGTCATAGTTATGCTCTGTAAATGCAGTGCATTATATTAGTTTCTGATCCAGTACAGGTCTCAATCTAAAGCCAAATAGCAATAGACTGGCAGATTTAATGCAAAAATACATCTTCCAAAGGCTCATTCTTACCATTTTTTATGCCTGACAACAGTAGAGTTCCGATGTGTTTTTAAATTTCTCTTACCAAGGGTGAACATTTTTGGTATTTCCTAGCAATTGTCACCTGCTGCTTAATAGATGCCAATCATTTGCTTTGGTTACAGCCCTATGACACCCCTTCTTTGCCCTGCATCACACATCAATGTGTAGTAGATGTAAATATTGGGGTTTCCAGTATCTAGCGCACATGTATTTTACACAAAATGATATAGTATTTTTGTTATTAGGTGATGCAGAGATATGATCAGCAATTATCACAATCAGGAACACTGCTATAAAAAACAGAAAAATGAGGGGACTCTAGCTTGAGAAAAGATATGGAATGAAAAATACAAGGAACACTGTCCTTATCTTTTAATGCATAATTAATGAAAAAAATCCCATATGTATGCATGTATGTACCTCCCAGAGAATCTGGAGCAATCTAATACAAAAATATCCAAGAACCCCCGAGAGCTGATGCACATTAAATAAATGTGACCTTTTTAATTGATTTCTCCCCGTTGTCAAATTAACCGCTTTTATTTCCATAGAGCTGTTGCCAATGGCAGATAAGCTCCCTGCTTTTCAAAGCAGAGATTTGACAATTCTAATTATATGCAATCCATATTGTAGACTGTTTTTATTCATGTATTTCCCTGAACACAATTTCAGTTGCTTTAGTAAAAATTAAGGTGTTGATTTTTTTCTGGAAGAAAATAAAAGACTTTTCAATGTGCAAGTAATGTCTCTCTGTATATAATGATGATTGTTTGTGCAGTCTGTAACAGAGAAGATTAATCTATTCAAGTCAGCCCCACTTGCTGAAGAGCTTCGTTCTATTAGTGGGGCAGAAGATAATACGTTGGCACCCCATTAGACATACATATATAAAGTAAACAAAACAGGCTCAGTTCCTAAAAGTAACACACAAGGATGAGGATGCTCAAAAAGTGACAGTTATTCTCAGTTTAGTCCAATGAGATTTGAAAACTATATTCTCTTGGCTAAAATAAAAATACCTATGCCTGCATTAAAGATTTTGGACATGAGCCTTTTTTCTCCACACATTCAAGCTACAGTATCTAATGCCTCAGCATCTATGCACTTGGGTGCTGATGTCAGAAGTGTACACAATAAAGCAGGGGTCTCCAAAAATTTTAATCAAAGGACCAGTTTACTGTCCTTCAGAAATTAGGGGGGAGGGCAGGCTGTGGCCAGCAGGAAAAGAAAATATCCCAGCATAAGTGAGCTTAGACAAAGACTTGGTGGTTACTGGTCAGAAGGAGTAAAACAATTACATAGAGTCTGTGGTCAGTAGGAGGAGGAATAGTGTCCCATCATTAGTGCTAGTGGGAGGAATAGTCCCTCATCATTGTTGTCAGTGGGAGGAATGGTGCCCCATCACTGGTGTCAATGGCAGGTACAGCACCCCAAGAACCAGATAAAAGCAAGCAAAGGGCCGCATATGGCATGCAAGCAGCAGTTTTGAGACCACTGAAATAGAGAACTGTTTCAAGCCACATAACACAATGCCAGATTTAGGTCACAATACCCAGAAATCAAGTGCTACTTCTTTTCCTTCTGTTTCTATTTTATAGGCGCTCTTACTTTCTTTTTAATGTACCAGTAAGTTGAAGGTTGCTTTGCAAGTTTAGGCTTCATGGCAGTTTCTTACCCGCTATTGGAAGGTAGAGATTTGCCAGTAAGTGATGTTATGTCTTTGTCGCCTACTCTAGATTAATGTATACACTGAGTGAATTGTGGCCACAAAATGTTTAATGCATATAACATAGATCATTTTGTAAAAAAGAAGACTGTGTTTTCTAAGCCTTTTTACATTGAATAGATTAAAATATTCTTAAACCTTTTAGCATAAAAAAAAAATGAAAGTGGTGTTTCAATTTTTGTGTATCTACTAACAAATTGTAAGTGTTTTTTATTTACCGTATATGACTGGCATGGAAATGATGGGGTTTATTTACTAGTCAAGTCTAGCTCTGGTTTATTTACAGTACAGTTCACTGAGCACAACTCCACTCACATTCTCTCTGCCAGGTTCTTCCCTCTCCTGGCTGGGGGAGGAGGGCCCGTGGCATCAGCACCAAGTCCCATTGAGACTAATTTCTGTTCCCCTCACAGGGCAAAAGTACTGGGCAGGGGTGGACTGACAACTCATGGGGCCCCTGGGCAATAGGGGATCATGGGGCCCCTGTGTCCTTGCCCACACTCAAACCACAACCAAAAAAGCCTATGAAAAAGGTACCAGGGGCATCTCATGGGGCCCCCTACTGACCCAAGGCCCTCGGGCAGTGCCTGAGTTCCCAAATGGTCAGCCCGCCCCTGTTACTGGGTGCTTCCCCCCTCCCACTGCAGGAGTTTATTTACTAAAACTGGAGAGTGAAAAATATGGCTCACTTCTGCATAGAAACCCTGCGCGCAAAATTTAGAGGGGAGCAGAAACTAGTCTCGCCTGTCCCGTAGGTGCTTGGTCCAATACTCCAGCTTGCCCCATTTCTGTCTTTCAAAGAAGGGCCAGAGCATGAGACAAGAAGATCTGGACTGTGTGTGATCCACTGATCTCAATGGGACTTGGTGCTGATGTCACCTGCCTTCCTCCCCCAGCCAGGAGAGGGAAGAGCCTGGCAGAGAGAATGTGACTGGAGCTTGCTGGGGCATCAGGTTTCCTTGTCTGTCTATCTCCCCTGGCCCGGGCTATTAGCTGCCAACTGTAGGAAAGGAGGAGGAAGAGGGTGGGGAGGAGGGCTGCCAGTGACCTCGGGATCTCAGCTTGTTACACACAGCAGGTGGAGGGAACTTGATCACAGCACTCGGGACTACACAGAGTACTCCTGTGTAAGTACAGAGGCTGCTGTTCATGCACCATATTTTCTGCCTTGCTGGGAGGACACAGGAGGGGGGCTGGGGGGGAACCTTGTGTGGGGTGATGATCCTTATTGCTCCCCTGGTAGTGGTGAGGGGTCTCCTCGCTTACAGCAAAATTGCCAGCCAATAACCCCAATGTAACGCCATTAGTACGGATTAGTAAGGGCTCTTTGTTATTCACAGTGAGAATTTTTATTTGGCTGCCCACAGCCTACAGCCTTTTATTATTGGTTGAATTTGAGATAGCTCTTTGACAACCATAGTTAAAGAACTGCCTCAGACTCAACCAATAATAAAAGGCTGCAGGCAACCAATCAGAGGCTAAGGCTGTGAATAACAAGGAGCCCTTAATAATCAGTCACAGCAGAGCAACCAGCCAAGAAAGCCTATGTAAATTACATAGGGGTTAATGGCTGGTTGTTCTGCTGTGACAGATTATTAAGGGCTCCAGTCCTCTCCATTAACAGCATAAGCCCCCGTAGTCCCCATGGCTCCAGGTGAGGGATTAAAAAAGAAGGGTCCCCTCCTCCCATCTCTGGGTGTCTCTTCTTTAATTCCCTCTACCTTATGTCTGGGCTATGCCTTCTCTGCTGTATATAAGGGTTCCTCATTATTTACAGTCTAAGCCTCTGATTGGCTGAATGCAGCCTTTTATTATTGGTTGAATCTGAGAAACTATCTCTTTCACAACTGTAGCCAAAGAGATATCTCAGATTCAACCAATAATAAAAGGTTGCAGGCAGCCAATCAGATGCTCAGACTGTGAGTGGAAGAACCCTTTTTCCATGGGAAAGTGCTAAACATCCACGGGTTAGGGGGTGCACATTTCTTGCCTTGCCCTGGGTCACTGACAACCCACGCTACGCCACTGAACCCCTGTATATATCAGCATTCAACTTTTAATTGTTGCTAATAACACCCAGGATTCACACATACAAACACACACACACACACGTACTATACACACAAAACATAACAAAGCTATAACCGTAATGGCCCAATAAACACATTTTGATAACAATAACATTTTTAAATGGGGTAAAGAGACAAGCTTATTCAAACCCTCTAACACTAAACACCTCTGCCATTGGAATACATACAAACCACATTAATGATTTCCCATTCAAATGAAAAATAAATATAAAGTTGAGTTTGAAAATCTTGTAATGCCCTAGTCGTTAAATAATGAGTACTCTTGGGACTTAGCAGATACAATAGACTCATGGATGTTTAGGGAAATAAATCATCAAGATTTTGGTTTGGATTTGAATTATGTTAGACAATAAACAGCTGTGCTACTGTTCTACCGAATTAAGAGTGGTTTCAGTAGTGTCTGAAATGCACATATGCACACTTGTATGTAGGTCAAATTTCTGTGAAAAAAATAACAAAAAAAAGAGGGGCTTGTGTTATAGTAGGGCTAAGCTCAATGTATATGCCTAGCTTTAACCCTTCGCTGCTAGAGTTATTTTTGCATAATTGTTTAAATGCACACTTTAGGCCTGAAGATTAGCTAAAACCCCACAACATAAAATTTTCTGAAATCAGAGAGAAGAATAAAATAGTGGTAGTTAATTAAGTAAAAAATACTCAAGTTAATTCTTGTGCACATGATCACAATGTATTACTCAATTTTTTTGGTAAAATACAAAAGATGAGGTTATGTAGAGTAAATAGATACCAAACAGGTCAAGCCATAAAATTGTGCATTTACAGTTAACCATGAATGATGGAGCTAGAATTATTATTCTCACTCTGACAGGTGCAGCAATATGCAAAATATGTAGCACAATTGTCATACGTAGCTGCTCCTGAAGCATGCATCTATATTTGTGTATTCATGTATGTGAGAGCAGGGGGCTCTAAGTCTGACTGTCCTTCTGCTCTGCCTTTTTTTTATTTTATTTTAGATATTTATTGCTCTGCAAAGCCACACTTCTACAATTCTTGCCTAGGTAAGAATGATGTTTGGGCCTCCTGGCCCTTGCTGGATTCTGTGCATGTGCATATGTGTCACAGGGTTTCTGATCCTGATAAGCTTGTGGCACATTTACACATGCACAAGTTTTGCTGTACATCTGTGCACGTGCAGGGTTTTTTTATGCATGAGCAAAGATGGGTAGCAGAACACTCACAAAACTTCTTTGCGCACGCATGGAAAATACCCTACACAAGTGCAGATGTGTTGAAGGGCTCTGCCATGATCCAAAGACCCCCATAGAGTCTTTTGGTGCATCTGCGCAGTGACCCCCAGGGGCAAACTGATAACTCATGGGGCCCACACTCAAACCACACCCAAAAAAGCCTATGAAAAAAAAAGGTACCAGGGGCATCTCATGGGGCCCCCTTCTGACCCCTGGTCCTCGAGCAGTGCCCGAATTCCCAAATGGTCAGTCCGCCCCTGGTGACCCCTAATGTCACCAATGGACTCCAAGGAAGCTGATCAAGCACAGATTTTGAATGGCAAAACTGAACCTGAATGTGATGTAATCTTAGTTGCTTCTGTGCTTTTTCACTGAAAGGGAGCTGATCTCCCTTTGCTCTCACCACTGACACCCTCCATGCCCATTCTAGCCTTCAAAATGGACAGCGGAACCTGAATACATGGCAGGGGGGTGCAGCACCCTAACGAGAAAAGGGGAGCTATGAATGTGAACACTTCCACCAGAAAACAAACAGCCAGGTTAACAAATGTAAACACAGTCCTGGATGTTAAGGGTTTATTCATTAAAGCTGGTTCACTCAGAATCTGGTGCACCTATGCATGGTAGCCAATCAGCTTCTAACCTCAGCTTGTTCAATTAAGCTTTAGCAGTAAAACCTGGAAGCTGATTGGTTTCTATGCAGAAGTGCACAGGATTCTGAGTGAACCAGCTATAGTAAATTAACCCCTTAGTCTGTTTGAAAGTTTGTGCTGCTGCAGAAGTAAACCTCATGCCAGTGGCAGTGAAAGGGTTAAAGTAAACCTGCCACAAGAGAAGTATAGGAGCTGGAATTGCTAACTTTGTTCTTAAAATGCAGTCCTTATTTGGATTCTTTTAGGTCAGTGACTCAAACTATTAAAGCCAGAGGGTCAGCATAATAGCCAGAGAAATAACATGTTCTTACAGAGAGATCAGCAATGGTATTCTCCATGTTCCTAGGACAGGTTTCTTTCTAACCTGTTCCCAACCCTCTTCGAGAATATACATTACCACTAAGTGATTTGGGGTGGGTCATATGAGATTGACACTCCCAGAAATGTCGGATTTCTAAGCACAATTCCTCTGCAAAACAGTGGTGTTCAGCAGCCTGGGCATATTTAGATATATGAAATGCATGGTTTTGCTTGTTAAGTACAGTAAAACTGTATTTTTGTTTTTTATCTCAATTTCCTTGCTTATTATCAAAAATATATCCAGGACATAAAAAAAGAAAACAAAATAAAGGCTTCATAGGTCTCAGGTACCCCTGGACATGAAAGCGTTAAAAGGGTAAACCTACTCTAGACAAGTTCAAGCTGAAAGAATTTTATTTTTTAATACAGAACTGAATAACATGAATCAAAAGATTTATTTTCTGTATCAGTAAAACATAATGCCTAAAGTATACAATAAGAGTTGCTATGGCTTTGAATATTGACATGACAAGAACAGAGTTGGATCAAACTCCTTTTGTAGAAAACATATGGTATGGATGGAATGGTGGTCAGTAGTTGCCTTTTATGCAAAAGCCATTGTTAGCATTACATTCCTTTTTATTGTCTTTTACCAGTTTATTGCCATGCTATTAAAGGATGTGGGTCTGTTTAACATGATGCTTCTCAAAGTAGGCCCTTTCTATATTGACATAAAAGATGTATAGAGATGATTATGCTTTCAGCAAATAGCATTTATACAACACTTAACCAGAGCTCTCTTTTGTATCCAGTTACAATTACACAAGCTGGTTTTGGAGGGTTTTATAGAAGCCATCAAGTGCAGTAAAACAATGATTGTGGGGTGTGGTAGTTTTCAGAGTTTGGTCATTGGAAACCATTTTTATTGCAGAAAGTTGAAAAAGCCCACTTGTAGGCATTTTACTGCTTGAGTGCTCCTTGATGTGACTTCTTCCCCAGGGCAAAATATTTGCATTAACTTCATTTCACAGCCTGTGCTCAGTAGGAGCTGGAAATGAGTGTGGAATGCTGCAGAATGCTATTATTGGTTACATTGTAGAAATAAACAAGTGACACCACTGAAATTGCCGCTCATAATTAATTGTTAGAAGTACTGTTACTAGGCCTTTCACTAAGAATCAATCCATTACAATACTTTTCTTTGATCTATGAAAAAAAAAAGGGTTAAACCTAATCTAAAGCTACCAGTGAAAACCAATAATTAGACAGATTAAACATTTTAAACATTATACCACAATTAGTTGTGTATGAGGTGTTAATGAGTACAGTTTGACATTCGATGAGAAATATAATGATGGGAAT